AAAAGAAAAGAAAAGAAAAGAAAAAAATACCACAGACATTGCTATGTCCCCCAAAAGGCCTGGGTCCACTATGGAGCATCCTTTACCTGTGTTTCCCATATCTGGCTCCAGAGCACAGTCCCCTGGGAATGAATGAAACAGCAAAAAACAGGTCCCTGGTTCTGGCCCTCCCCACCCAGCCCACGCATCAGCATCGGTGGGGTGAGGCCCTGCGGGGTCACTGTGAGCACTCCCCAGGGAGACGATGGTGATCAATCCATGACTGCTAGAACACATTCAAAGGTACACTTTAAAAAGGTGAACTTCGTGGTGTGTCAATTATACCTCAAAGCTGCTACTAAAAATGAAGCAGCTCGCATGTGATGCTGATGCAGCAATCCCACATGTGCCCCATGGTGACTAGAAGCCACCTTAATAAGTTCCCCAGGCAGAGTGGGAACATCTGGAGCCTCCAGCCAGGGCAGGAGCTGGGTCCTGGGAACTGGCTGTTTTCCAGCAGATGCAGAGGCCCTGCCCGGGTGCCTGCAGCCTCTGTCCAGAACCTAAGTGTGCCACAATTAACCTGGAACCTTCAAAACTACAGGAGATGGTGACCGCTACTACGGTTCAGGTGTGAAGTGGCTAAGATGCAAAGGTGCTGGTGGACTCAGAAGACAGGCTCATTTATAGGCCTGTCCTGGGAGCTACCTAAGTGACACACAGGAAGCCAGCCTTGTTCCTTTGAAGTCCAGCCGTGGCTTTTAACTGTTGCCAAAATTCCAGTTAAAAAACACCATTTGCATCCATGAGGTTGCTCAAAATCACGCACTTTGGAGCTCTGCATGTCTGATTCCCAGAGTGTGCAGCAGGCCGCACCCCCGCCCACCCTAGGTAACAGAGGTAGATGCGCCTTTCCTGTCTGCAGGAAGGGCACGTTGTCTTAGGGGGTTGCAGACCCACAGTTCCTGATGTGTGCTGTTTGGCTTGCACACAATATTTTACTTTTTAGAAATATGTTTGCTAACATTCTAAAATCAAAAGGGTTTATGTGAAAAGCCTTGCTTCTGACTTAACCTTGGACAAGTGAAGAATGTGGCCCCAATTCCCTTAAAGCCACAACTGGCTGAAGCTGACCATCATGCTGGGGACACAGTCTGGCCTCCTCCTGCCAGCCTGAACCCACTCCACTGGCCACCAGGGACATGTGTGTATTCAGCTTGTGCCTCAGAGCTGGCTGGAATCCCAGAAGGGGATCTTGCTTTTCACCACGAGGAGCTGCTGAAGTAAATTCCTGCCCAGGGGTGTGGGCACTTGGCTGGATGCAGGCAGGCAGGCTAGGCACCTCTTCCAGACAGTTTTAAAAGAGATGGACTTGTTCCATGAGACTCTTGGATGAAGAGGACACTGCAAGGGCCACTGAGCATCCCCAGGGTCGTTCCAGTGGTGCAGCCAGAGTTCTATGGGACATATTGTGGCTGGCAACAGAGAGCCAGGCTGACCCTGAGGCTGGCTGTGGGGGTGGCCCCTAAACGGGTGGGTGGGGCAGCGGCGACCCTCTGAAGGGCTTTTCACAGCTCCCAGTACCAAGGACAAATGAGTCCTTTGACTCAGGTCTACCTCCCAGTGAGGGGGAGGCCTCCTGGGTCTAGCCAAAATGAAGATCTTTTAAAGCAAGGCTATTTCTAACTCTTGCATTTGGTAAGGTTTCTCATTCTGCATTTCTCTTAGGTTTTTAAGCCACAGCTTATAATTGAGTGATATATGTATTTGAAATGAGCCTTAAAAGAACACAGCTCTTTTTGGGGTAGGAGAGTCCTCCTGGGGAGGGCAGAAGTGGGGGCACTTCCAGGATGACCAAGGTCTTATCAGTGGCACAGCACAGGGCACTGTGGACCCTGTTAGCAAAGTTGTGCCCTGCTTTCTAGGGCCATTTCTTTCTTTTTGTTTTTTTCCCCACAGTTTTTGGCCAGGGCCGGTTTCAACCCACCACCTCCAGTATATGTGGCTGGCACCCTACTCCTTTGAGCCACAGGTGCCCCCCTCTAGGGCTATTTCTTATACCCCTAAGAGTAACACAGCAGCGAATTTTGCTGGAGTCCTTTTCTACAGATCTTGGTGACACCACAGCAAGAGGAGGGAGGGGGTGAGTGGAGACAAAGACTTCCCTGGTAGTTATGTGTGTGTTTGGAGGGTCGCTGCCCACAAATCCATGGAAAGTCAGAGGTCAAGCCAGCCAAGATGATGGTGATAGAGGGTCTCTAAGGATTCTCTGCACAAAAGGCCATTCTTTCTAGTGCCTGAACTTCCACCTTCCACTGTCTGCCTTTGGGTGCTGGTGGTGCCCTTTCCCAGAACACTGTTATTGTCAGTTGTTTATATCATAATAGGGTCAATGAGAGAAATGTTCAGAGACATTTCCCCTGCTTATGTGGGTTGTAAGCTGGGCTCAGCAGTACAGTGTCCCCAGGCAGCATCTCCATTCCAGCAGCACCTGAGCTGGGACTTTCTGCTCTGCAAGCCTCTCCCTCCCCTTCCTTCTTGGTGTCAGAGCAGAGGCTCCCACCTGCCTCCCCACATGATCAATCCATCTCAGTCTTTTTTTTTTTTTTTTTTTGAGACAGAGTCTCACTTTATCACCCTCGGTAGAGTGCTCTAATCTCTCCTCCTCCCCTTCTATAACCCT